GAGTAATCAAAAATTATTCAAAATCTGAGGTTTTATTTTCAAAATAGATCCTCATTTCAAGAAAAGTCTTCTGTATCCCTAGCCTATTTTTAATACACTAATAAAGAACTTACTTCTTCCAGGTTTGCGAACCTCTTTCATCACTCTAATTTTAATACCAGCATCGCTTCCCTCCAACATTGTAGGTGTTATTTTAAATGAATTTGGCACAGATTCCGAAGTAGACTCCATCACTCGTTTTTGGTCATCTCCAGCCACACTGTAATTTAGAGGCCCTTGAACAAGTGCATTGGTACCAGGTTTATGATCCAAGCCATCTTTGCATCATTTAAGCAATTGAACTCATCATGTAGAGAGTCTAAGTCACCAGGTAACATTTCATCCTCTCCCATAACAGCTGGAACCAAAGAAGCCATTTGCACAGACAAGCCATCAATTTGCTTTTCCAGCAACTGACAATTTTCTGCTTTCTTCTCTCCATTACCGTCTTGGACAGTACTGTTACCAGTGTCTGAAAATTAAGAAGGAGCTTAGTAGTGCATAACTGCAGTATCAAAAACACAGAAGGAAATTATTCTGCATCCCTTCTTGTTTAAAGTACTGTGTAGAGAGTTACTCAGCACTGTCAGATCACTTCAGTAGTTTTATTCACCCTTTGACGCAACCACAGGAATACCTCCTTTTGGACTGCTACCGTCTCACATGACTGTCGTTAAGTTATTTTCTGTATTCCCATTTCAGTGTTATGACTTCCAAGGAAACTAAAGTTTCCCCTCCTTCCCCCAGTTCCAGCAAATTTTTCTTTTGACTCTGCTGCAACAGGTGGGTAAATTACTATTTGTGAGAAATTTAAAACTTTTTTTTTTTTTTTACACTTTCCTTCCCCACTTCTCCCTTCCCCACTATAGAATACACAAATGAGAACTAAAAGCTGAAATGAAATCCTTGCTACCACCAAACCATCGTGGTGAAAGGTTTCAGCACTTTTTAAAAACAGTTCAAAATTATTGTTCATTCAGGACTTCATTAGCTATAGCAACAGCCTGTTTGTCTAAGCCAACCAAAGAAATTCAGTCCCAAATAACTCTTAAACTTATGTGCCCTTTTGAATTTACATAGAAAGCACAGAGACCTTTTTTTTTTTGCACACATATTTCCACTTATGACCACACAAGCTCCTGTACTACAACAACTCCAACAGACCTTTATTTGTTGGCATGCCTTTCAGGTTCAGATATGATGGAGATCCAGCAGCACAGGGTGGCCCTTTCCCACCAACATGGTTTGTCACAACAGGTAGTGACTGTGGCCGTCGCAATAGCGGTGACATGCTATGCCTTCTCTTTAGTGATGCTGGAGTATTGGGCTCTCCAGGACGCTTGACCTTATTCTGAGGCCCAGCAATAAATTTATCTGCTTCATCTATCATCATACCCTGAAAAGACATTTTTTTTTAAGTAAAAAATAATTGCTTCGTCAGTTCACTACTGGAGTAATTGCCTCTGTGTTACAATTTAGTTACTTTTCAAATAATGATACAGCAGATAGCAAAACTTCTCCTACCTTCTTATCCTGTTTGAATGGATTGCCAAATGTATGAAGCCTTTTTGGTTGATCTGGATCAATCTCCCGAAGGGGTGAAGGCATCATTTTCAACTACTCCTGATAATTTCCCATTTGAGCAACAGGAACGCTGTGAAGGCAGTCTGCAGCAGAACAAGGTATCTAAATTTAGTCTACCTTAAAACTAAGGAAATACAAGCCTCACATGCTTCCATTTCAAGTGTTAGCGTTTAAGAACTAGAAATCACTATTTCTTCCCTCTACAAAGGAAAAGCAAAAGGCAAATAAAGCCCCTCTTTCCTTTCACCACCACTATAAAAACATATACTGCATCCTGTTGCATAGGAAAGCTCACCCATGAAATTTATTTTTCAAATTCCAAGCATGCACAACATGTTTTGTGACAGAAGGCAGAAGTTTCATTCTTTTCCTTCAGAATTGAGGAAAGGACAACTGACCCAACAAATGATGCGAAGTCTACTTCCTCTCCCACACCGAGGACAGAAACACTACTTAGGTGAATCAAATAGCTGTACCAGACTGTTAATAAATAATTGTAGTGATTTACCTTCATCCTGCCCCACAATATGCCTGAGTGTTTTCAGAAGATTGGTTCTCATTCTAGTTAGCTGATCTAGAAGATTGCGACGAGGAGTATCATATGCATTTCTGAATGCCTGTGGCTTCAAATCCTAGTTTTATAATAAAACAAGTAACTTTCAGTTAACCCACGACTTCTCATGCACAAAGAAATTGCTCTATGGACCGTAATACCATTAACTACTAAAAAAATATTCTGAAACAACTTCAGACCTTCCTAACTGGATACAGCAGACTCAACCCTTTTTAGCACAATCTTATTCAGCATTCTCTCTTTCAGCTTTATTAAAACTAACTAGGTTAATTCCTGGACTAACAATATTAGCTGTCTTTTGGAGAGGTTGTCACTTTCATCACAGTTGTCTTTGACTACTACTGTGGGATTTTCAAACTCTGTCACAAAAACATATGCAAAAAATTGCATTTGCTCCTCTCACTACTTATGCCTATGGTACATTCTTCACAATTCAGCAAAAAGTACTTACTTCCTTACTTCTACGTTAAGTCCATAAAAGATACCCATTTAAAACAGATCAGCTGCTTAATCATGCAAGATCTCTATCCTGTTTACCTTGTTTAAGAGTCCTATGTGGAAGCCAGCAAATTCTTTAACATTAATTTCCGCCAGTTTCAGTGGAGATTCCCCAGTGATCCCTTGCAGCAGTTGCTGAAAATCCCTACTGTGTACCAAGGAGAGGCCACTGGAGAGATTTTTCACTTTTATTCCAATTTCTTGTGGAACTTTCTTACCCACTGAACCTATTATTCGTTCCAGCTCTATTTTTGTCTAAAATGGAATCACATTGTGAGTTAAAGAATCACCATGCATTGCAGATTTCCAGTATAAAACACATAGTACATGAACAGAATAAAACTACAGTTTAGTTCCCAACCACTCAACTACCTGCCCAGGGATATATTGGATATAAAGTAGAATAAAATCCTTATGCTAGCATACAGAAAAAATATTTAGCCAGTGCATCTAAATTTATATGCCAGTAGGTGGTCTGTGAACATCCCTGATTTTGCTGCAAGTCTGTGACTTTCCTTATGTGCTCCTAAAAAATCATCTTTAAAAGGAAAGAAATAATGAAAAGGGTGATACCTTAGGTTACTGTCAAGCTACATCTAAAACCGTATTCAAATGCAGTAACATCAGATTTCATTTTGGAAACAATCTATGTACTAAGGTTTGCAACAAGATAAACAGTAGTAGAACCCACATGTAATTTGCTTCATCAGTAAGTTTCTAAAAATTGCTCTTCTTTGCATTGTTCCTAGCCATGACAGTTCTCATTGAACATGACTAGAGCGAGGGTGTGCTACGTTATTAGGTGAATCCATGTCCATGATAGTTCAGTACCTTGACTACAACCAGAACCGTAACAGTTAGTCAGCTACGCCCCTTAACGGGACAGCTTTTCATAGGGAAAAACATAAAGCCTAAGATTTCTCATGCCTAAGGCCCTGGGGAGCACGCAGAGAAGGAACCCGAGACTCTTAGCCATGCGACGCCTGAGAATCGCAGTTTACAGTTAGTTACTCAGTGTCTTCTGGTCTCACAGGATGAGGCAGAGGTATAATTAATTCCTTTTCCATCTCTCTGGAAAGAACTTTCCTCCTATCTGTGACAAAGGAAAAAAAAGAAGTTGTGATCGTGGAGTCGTTACACAAAGCCACACTCTGTGAATTCACTACTACAGTTAAGATCATTTTTAGTCAAAAATACATCGGCAGCAATGCTATCACTGCAAACATAGCGCTGCAAAAAAAAAAAATTCAGCTCAAGATACAGGAAAGGGCGAGCTAAAAGCACAAATTACATGACGGATGGAGTCTGCAACAACCACCTGGTAGATGGTTGTCCACAGCCCTCGGATTTTGTGGTTGTCTTTCCTGACAAATGAATACTGGAAGAACAGAAAAGATACACCATGTGTCCACAAAAGACTTCGGGGAGACTACTGAAAGGAAAACCAAACCAAAAAACTAGAAACAGCAAGTGGTGTGTACGTCGGTTTTGTTAGAGCTGTGAGGAATGTGTTAACAATTCGTGTCCATAAAGAACAGTCCTGTTTGCCTCTGGGCCCTGCACTGGCAATTTAATTCTTGAACCACAGATGCAGTGTGTCCCAGTCTCCCCCTCATTCTAGTCAATTTATCATGTCTTCAGAAAACACTCCTTAAATTTATGAACCTGTTTGCTTTTGTTATTCCAAACTTCTATTTCTAACAGTTACAGCCTTTTTTCCTGTCTTCTTCAAGATTAACTTAACACTGCTATAGATGTGTCTGTGAATGGCTGGGGAAGAATGTTTTAATTACTCGTGAAGCGTCAAATAAGAAAGCTGTTTGTGTTTGATGTCTGGGAGTTTCAGAACAACTGATAACAACTAGTGACTGTTATGGGATACTATGTGGATCTTTAGTATCTGGCCAGGGGGCCAAGAGATTTAGAAGAAGGAAAAAGAAGCTGAAGGACGGTTGGGAGACAAGAACTGCAGAAAGTGTTCTAGAAACTTGGAATTGTGCCGAGTGAGTACAAAGGTGAGAGGAAGACTACGAGCCTTCAGCATGAAAGACCCCTAGAGACCCCCAGAGGAGACTGATGCGCATGCTCCAGTAGGAGGGACTGGACCCCAGAAGCTAATTATAATAATCTATTTTTTTAGAAATAGTAATGAATATGTATTAGTCTAGGAACATAAAAATCAGCTGCTTGATGTAACTGGTGTGCGTCCTGGTGGAGGAGAGACTCCCGGTGCACCCAGCGCTGTTTGCTTACCTCTATTCCTTTATATTCTTTTAATAAATCCTATTTTTTTATGTAATCCTAATTTGAATCCTGAGCCATTTATAACAGAGCACCACTAACGTACAAGGAATTTCCACATTCTTTGTCCTCCTCTACCTTGAAAATGTCACCCAATTCTGTCAGTGTGTTCACCATCAGCATTTTTTTTTTTTTTTAATTTTCACGTGGATATCCGAGGAAAACATTTCGAGTGCCTGTCATCAAGGGAGAAGAGAAAACAAAACAAACAAAAAAAAAATAGGGATGAGGGGGGAAGAAGCACAGCCATTCCTTTCCTCGGTAATGTGAGCAAAAAGCTCAGGCGCTCAGCAACAACGTGCTTTGAAAGATAAACACAGAAGAAACTGCACGTTATTTAATCTCAGCTATAGAGTCACGTGTATTTGTACCTGCTCATTTGTTCATCTGTCAGTGTATTTTGCTACAGACGCTACAGAACATAGAAACCGCAAGGTTACTACTACCTTTTGTGACCGATGAGATCTTCTGCAGGAACAGCTATCGAAACGAACCAACAAAATCCCCTTCGTCGACAGCCATCTGAACTTTTATTGTCTAACAACAGTCCTACAAACATCCCCCGGGATGCTCAACTTCTGAAACTTTCCATTCAACTTGAGGCAGAACAAGCCCTTACCCTGGGCACCTTCACCCGGCTCTCCACTGCTAGCAGAGTAGCACTCTGATACTGTCCAGGATGCGCTGCAGCCTACTCGCTTACGTATATTTACTGTAGCCTGGTTCGAGACACGCACAGAGAGACCCATGAAAAATCCACCCTTTCCTTCAGAGAAGTAAATAAATACATACATACAGACGACACAGTAAGGAAGAAAAGCTGAACACATGGCACATGGTCCTTTACCGAGGGGCAAATCCAGCACCAGCACGAGGAGCTTTGGGGCACGTGAGCGATCATCTACACCAGCCATCGGGACAAGCCAAATGCACACACACGAGCCTCGATTTAAAACAAAACAAAACAAAACACATTATGTGTTTTGTTGCCACAAAAGTAGCTTGCCACAAAAGTAGCTAACCGTATTCAGAACTGCATTATGTAAAGCATTGCCAGCAAGTTGAGGGAGGCGATCCTTCCCCTCTGCTCAGCACTGGTGAGGCCACACCTGGAGTGCTGGGTCCAGTTCTGGGCTCCCCGGTACAAGAGAGATATGGATGTACTGGAAATAATCCAACACAGATCTACCAAGATGATCAAGAGCCTGAAGCACCTTCTCCTGTGAGGAGAGCCTGAGAGAGCTGGGACTTTTCAGCCTGGAGAAGAGGAGGCTCAGGGGGGGATCTTGCAACATCAGAAACAACTGAAGGGGAGGTGAAAAGAAGATGGAGCCAGGTTGTTTTCAGTGGTGCCCAGTGACAGGACAAGAGACAACAGGCACAAACTGGAAGACAAGAGAAGCCATCTGAAAGTCAGGAAGCATTTTGTTATTGTGAAGGATGACCAAGCACTGGTACAGGCTTCCCAGAGAAGTTGTGGAGTTTCCTTCTTTGGAGACCTTCAAAAGCTCTCTGGACATGGTCCTGGGCAACCTGCTCTAGGTGGCCCTGCTTGAATAGGTGGGGGTGGACCAGGTTACCTCCAGAGGTCCCTTCCAACCTCAATGATTCTATGATTCTGTGATACTGCCAGTTGCTGGACCACTCTCAAGCATATTAGCTTGCATCCTTCTTGCAGTGATCAACCAGCCCGCAGACACCATAATTCTCTGGGCAAATCCAGAATTAGCATTACCATATTCTCTAATTTTCCCTACAAAAATCAGAAAATGCATCCCAAGCTATCAATTTCCTTTTAAAAATGAGGAACCCCTCCATAAATAAGGAGCTCATTTGCAAAAATCCCTTCTTTAATCTACTTTTGAAATGTCACAAATACTCCTTCCCCACATCCATCCCTTCCTATCTTTGTGAAATATAGAAATGTTTGCCAACCTGTTGGAAAGAAAACCCAAATATAGGGACCAGAAATGCTTGAGTAGATACTGGCATCTAATCCTCAAGGACGATCATGGCTTAAGACATACCTTTTCCTTCAGCATACATGTGTATTAGTAGGTAGCTGAGACAGTTTCCCTGTTTATATAGTGGCCACTAAAAATCACACTTTTATAAGCCAAAGTGCCCTCATGTGTCTGCTAAATTAACACCAATTTAATTAAACGAAGAGCTTCACAGTCAGGCTTCACAACCAAGCCAGGAACTGAAAAGGCTCTGAGAATCTCACTACTGAACTTCTCTTGTGACTTCGCGGTATTTCATCACCATGGACACACACAGCTTACTAACACCACCATTGCTCAGTGATCACAGTTTAGCTATCTGCAAACGCCGTCTAGTAAACCAGAATCAGCAAGCCAGAAGGAGCTATCTGGAAACTCTGTGAAGACCACAAAAGCAGGAAAGGTCAGTATTGTTGTTGTTGTTTTGTTTTTAAACACTTTTTGTATAATAATTTTAGCAAGGCCTGTTGTTTTTTTCATGCAGATTTAGTCATTTCTCTAATATTTATACAGCTCTGCTATTTTCTTTCCCATAAAACCACATTAACTAGCATTAACTCAGTTCTACTACTTTTCATTGTGACACCCTTTTAACTCTTTGGAAACTCTGTTCCCCAAAGCACTACACTGATTTCTGTACACATTCTTATGTTTCCCTATGACTACCCTACTTCTGATGCAGCTGCCACATTCCTAGCTTGGACACTGTTCTGCTGTTACTATGACAATAGATTAATACATTTTTTCTATTTTGTTCACCTATCCACTCAAATTTTGCATATTTTCTTTAAAAGGGACTACCAGTTCTAGTAGGATACAGTAAGCTTTAGTTTAAAATGTTAATTAAAAACATTATACTTCTCAGACTTCTCTCCAGTTCTAAATACTTGATTGCACTGTTCCTCTTTTGAATAAGTATTTTAGAAATTCTGTATGTAAAGTACAATTCACTCCTTTATTTTCTGATTATATTTGTAAGGACCATTAATACTGGTGCTTTTTCCTTCCTTCGGTATCTGTTGTGGACTTAACTGACCCTCTTATATTGCAGGTATCTCAGCAGTTTTAAAACTTAATGTTGTATGTTAAAAAATGAAACCTCTGATAAAACGACTGCTGAAAAATTAGCAATTAGCTAATTAAGCTAGGTAAGCTTTAAGTAGAATTGTAGCATAGTGCTCAAACTGTCTGAATATATATTCAAATAACTATATTACCAATTACTGTTATTTCAACAGTTCTCTTCCTCACTGGTATCACAAAAATTGCGCATAATTTCTAGATATCTATTTCCTATGATGTATTCTCTTTTAATCATTGGATACATACAGAAGATGAATTTTTAAGAGCAATATAGGGCATTGACCATATCCCATCATCTTCACTTGTTATCTCCCAAACAGTACAAAACATGTCTTCTAACTTATTTCTCAGCTTCAGCATGTGCTCAGCTATACTTACTGGCGTGAACTTGTGCCACACAGACAAGATCAACAAAAAAAATTATTCTGAAATTAAAGGAAAAAGCGTAGATTTCAGACACATTTAGCTTCTATATTTCTATTGTGCCTCAACACTGTTATTCATGTTTGTCTCTTCTGGAGAAATATCCTCTGTTCCAAAAGTGCATATTACTCTGGTCAATTTTATTAACTTGATAAGTCTTATCTTTATTAGCACCGCACGTTTCCTCGCACTGGGCTCTGACCTGGGATGATGTTCTCTTTCCATGAAAACCTGGGTTTGTATCTAAGAATAAGAAGCACAGAGGTCCTATGCTCACATTTCTAGTACCCATTCCAGAACTGGCTCTTCCTCTCACCTGCAGCCCCAACCTGCCTGATTGGTCAAAGTAATCTCACTGTCTTTTGCACTCCATTACGTTACCCTCCTAATTTCACAGAATTCCAGAATGGTTGAGGTTGGAAGGGACATCTGGGGGTTCATCTGGTTCAATTCTCCTGCTCAAGCAGGGCCACGTAGAGCAGGTTGCCTGGAAGGGAGTGTGCAAAGATGAAGGAGCCACACTCTTTTTATTAGTGCACAATGACAGGACCAGAAGCCACAGGCACAGACTGGAAGACAGGAGGTTCTCTGAACGTCAGGAAACTCTTGCTTACTGTGCAGGTACGGCAGCAAAGGTGTGATTTGGTCTCTATCCTGTAAGAGTGCAGGTTTGGCTGAAACTTCTGTGTGTCTTGATTACCCTGGTAGGGCTGCAAACCCCACAGGAACTGGAAAGGAAACTATCAGCCACAGTGCCTATGCATGCTCTAATAGTCACTGAGGACACACCTCATGGGGACACGAGTGTTGGCCTGTACTGCATATAGGGTGCCAGGATTCTGGAAAACTCAGGTGTTGTGCTTCAGTAGTACACAAGATGCTTTTTTTCCTTCCTTATGAAAGAATAAGGCTTAATCTGTATTTCTCTCCTTAATGTTTTCTATAGACTAATATAGACAGCTTCTAGTCTAGCATGATGACCTAGCAGTCACATTTTAGAATTTATCAACATTCATGTTTGTAAGCTTCAGGCATCCCTTTATTTAGCCTTCAGTGCTTACTTGCTGGCTGAAGTTTTATACAGAAGATCTTCCGCCTACAGAGAATGTACTCATGTAATAATTCCTCAGTGGACTTTGACTTTGTTCTCCAAAGTACAGAAATAACACAACATTATAAAACAACAACAATTTTAAAAAGATATGTATTTTTCAATTAGTAGAACTACTTCTCGTCAGTTACCTACTAATGTAAAAATGCACATGCACATTACGTGCCTGTGTTCTTCAACTCAACACACGGGTGAGATAAGAGAAATTTTAGGTCAAACATTTTGGCTGCTGTAATGAACAACTGAAAACAAAAGGATATAAGATGGCATGATTGGGGAGAAAAAACAAGGTGACACAAAAAACATGTGACACAAATGCTCACTAAAAATTCATAATTTCCCTTTCCATTACAGTTTGCCAGAATTGGATACCCCATTGTGGAATATGGCATCCGTTACAAAGCAGATTAAACAAGACACCACTGGTGGTGGGAAAAATAAGCAAGGAGTAAGAACCAAGAATGGAGATATATCCAAAGGAATAAGTGACATGGAGACACTTGTCAAAGAGAGGAAGTCATACTTGCAGAAGGAATACAAAATACTTACCGAACATATGAACACATACATGGGAAAAGTGGAGTATTTCCTGCAGGAGAATAAATTCCTGGAAGAGGAAGCCCGACGGAATCGGGAAGAGAGTAACATTTACCTCTCCTACATAACAAAACACAGCCAGAAGTGCCAGAATCTAATAATAACACTAAATGACCAGAACCAAATTGATTTGTCTCAGGTCTGGATGCAGAAAGAGAAGCTAATCTCGCAGTATACAGAAAAAGAAAAGGAGGTAAAAACCAGTCTGATGAATATGGAGGAAAAGTATTCTCTTATGAACAAGGAAGTTGAAGACTTGCAGCCTTTCAAAGATCTGCAGTTAGAACAGATTAAAAAGATTAAAGAGCTGGAGAAGGAATTGTTGGTCACAAAGATCCAGCATTCAGAACAAATGCACAAAATCAAGAGCAGATTTTTGCAGGCCAAAGCTGACTGTGAGGTGGACTCTCATCAGAAGATCCAGGTTCTCACCAAGAGAGCAGAAGAAGCAGCAATACAATCTCTAATTCAGCATATCAAACAAGTAAAAGCTGAGAATTGGCAACTGCGCCAGGAGTTGCTCAGACTCATCCAATGCTCAAAAGTCCTTAAAGAAATCAGAGTTCAACTGAGAGAGCAGCAGCAGCAGCTTCTTCGGGAGAACCAATGCACTCAGGATATGGCATGCATGCGCCACAGGTTACATCGGCATGAGGCACACAATGCAAACTGGAAAACCCACAGCTCTGACAGCCCCTCCAGATGTGGCCATTAGCCTAAAGAAACATTTCTCTATTGCTCACTCATGACTCTGTATCACTAAACCTAGCTGGACCATCAACTGTTATTACAACTAGTTAAGTAACAGAGTATACATAAGTAACCTGAATAACTGACATGTTCTGTGGGTTGATGAAAGGATTCATTTACATAACTCATGCTCAGCATGCAATCTAGATGAGATCTTGAAAGCAACATCACCTTTTAACTTCCACAACATTTATACCAAGACAACTGGAACTGCACTCCTTTCATTCCCCAAAATAAACAATGACATTTTCTCTTTGAGATCAGACATCAATTAATAATTTTCCACACACAAATTATACTCTTACACATAGTGAGACAAACTCTATGTTAACCTTCACTGCAATCTACATCTACTGTTACCGTAAAATGAATTGATGTAGGCCAGCTCCTCCTTCCAGCACTTTTTTTTTCCAAACCTTCAACACAGCAAAGACTTTATTAATTTTATCTTTTGTTAGTCTCCAAAAAAAGAGAAAATAAATAAGCAAGTAACCAAATGCTTTAAACAATAGATGCAGTTAAGGTATTTGATCTTTCGTCATAACTATCAATAAAATATATTCATACTATTTATAAATACCTGGAGACAGAGGGATTTGGCCAACCTCTTTTCAGTGCTTTGTGGGGATAGGACAAGGGGTAATGGCCACAAAATTGAGCCTGGGAAGTTCCGCACCAACATGTGAAAGAACTCCTTCATGGTGAAGGTGACGGAGCACTGGAACAGGCTGCCCAGGGAGGCTGTGGGATCTCCTTCTCTGGAAATATTCAAGGCCCATCTGGACGCCTACCTGGGCAGCCTGCTCTAAGGAACCTGCCTGGGCGGGGAGGTTGGACCCGATGATCTTTTGAGGTCCCTTCCAACCCCTACAATTCTGTCATTCTGTGATTCGATATAAATTTTTGCTTTTTTCTCATTCTTTTCTTGCTTCAGTGTTTCACTGGAGAAGCAAAATTCTAGTAGCCTGCTGTTACATTCACATTTCAAGCTGAACACTTCTGGATTGTGATTATCTCATCAGCAATGATATTAGAGGTCACCCTTACTCTAAGTTTGAGTAGGCACAAAGGGATATTTTATAAATAATCAAAATATAGTTGAGGATGCAATCTCACAGGAGTGTCAGAGCAGGGACACCTTCAGCAGCTTTTGAACATGTGCAAGGATGGAGACTCCACAGCCTCTTTGTGCAAACTGTTCCACTGCTTGACCATGGTCACAGAAGAAAAAAAAATCTTTCTTATGTTTAAATGGAATTTCTTAAATTTCAATTTCAGAAGAGTATGGCTCTGCCTCCCATCACCCTCTCCACCATTTAAACACATTGGTAAGATTCCCTGGAGCCTTCTACAGGCTAAACAATCACACTCTCCAATTATCACAGATGTTCTAAGGCTATATCTCTGTGGCCCCTCGCTGGGCACACTTCTTTATGTTCCTGTCTTTCTTGCACTTGGTAGGCCAGAACTGGACACAGTACTCAACAAGCGGTCTCACCAGTGGTCAGTAAAAGTGAAGAATCACTTGCCTCAACCAACTGGCAAGTCTCTTCTTAGTGCAGCCCAGGATCACAGAATCACAGAATCATCTAGGTTGGAAGAGACTCCAAGATCACCTAGTCCAACCTCTGACCTAACACTAACCAGTCCTCCACTAAAACATATCACTAAGCTCTACATCTAAGCATCTTTTAAAGACCTCCAGGGATGGTGACTCCACCACTTCCCTGGGCAGCCCATTCCAATGCCTAACAACCCTTTCAGTAAAGAAGTTCTTCCTAATATCCAGCCTAAACCTTCCCTGGCACAACTTTAGCCCATTCGCCAGGCACATGGGAGAATCAACCAACCCCCATCTTACTACAGCCTCCTTTAAGGTACCTGTAGAGAGCAATAAGGTCGCCCCTGAGCCTCCTCTTCTCCAGGCTGAACAACCCCAGCTCCCTCAGCCGCTCCTCGTAGGACTTGTTCTCCAGGCCCCTCACCAGCTTCGTTGCCCTCCTCTGGACTCACTCAACCACCTCAATGTCCTATGGATGTTCTTGGCCTTCTTTACTGGAAGGTCACATTACTGGCTCATGGTCATCTTACTGTCCACGAGGACCTCCAGGTCCTTTCCTGCCACGCAGTTTTCGAGACCATCTGTTTCCAGCTTGTACTGGTGGAAACAATTACTCCTCCTCTAGTGCAGAACTAGGCATTTTTCAGTGCAGAACTTCATGTGATTCCTCTTGGCCTGGTTCTCCAGCCTGTCAGGGTCCCCCTGAATAGTAGCACAACTATCTGCTGTAATAACCTCTCCTCCTTGTTTCATATAATCTGCAAATTTGCTGAGACTGCGCTCTAGCCCGTTATCGAGGTGATTAATGACGAAGCCAAACAGTACTGGCCCCTGTATTTACCCCTACTTTAAAGCATTACAGTGACTGACCTCCAGCCGGTCTTTGTGTCACTGATGACAACTGTCTAATTCCAGCAGTTGAATTTTCACTCCATCTAACCATCCACTTAGCTAATCCATACTTAGATCAGTTTGTCAGCATCGATATTATGGGAAACAGTATCTGCCAGAGCATACTGGAAGGAAGGAACGACTTGCAGTGTAGGCATTTACACTAACAACTGATAGATTAAAAAAAAAGAAAAAAAAAGAGAGAGAGAAACGTTACTGTGCATTGGAACAGGTGCAGCGAGCAAGTCGGACAGCTCCCGCTCACACCGGCACGCTCATTACAAGTTTGTAAGACGAAGGCGCAGGGTGGGATACGCTGAAGACCTTTTACACTCCCCCGCCGCACCCCTGGGAGCCGCGAGCGGCACCACGGCCGCAACCCGCCGCTGCCTGAGGGGAGCCCTCCGCCGGCGGCCGCGCTGCGCTCCACCAGCCGCGCCCTCAACCAGCAGCCGCGGCGCAGCCACGGCCCAGCCCGCGGCAGCTCCTCACGGCCACACCGCCGAGGGGCAGCGCGGAGGAACGGAGGCAGCCTGACCGCCACAGCAGCCGCTGCCCGCCGGCCGGCCGGGGTCGCGCTCTGCGCCTGCGCCGTGCGGCGCGGCTGTTTCCATAGCAGCGGAAAACAACGGGGCGGGCGCGGCGCGGCGCCGTTTGCTGCCTCGGCTGCTCCGCCATGAGCGTGCCGGAGGTGGAGGCGCTCGTCTCCCAGAAGTACGAGATCAAGAGGCGGCTGGGCAAGGGGGTGAGCGCCTCGGGGGCCCTTGGGAGCCTGGGGAGATGCGCGGCGGGGTCCTGCGCTGCAGCGCGGGCACGCCCCCCTAGGCCGGTGCCCAGGCCGGTGGCGGCTTTGGCTTCGGTCTCGCTTCCGGCCCCGGTCCGTGCCGCTGACCGGAACCGCGCCTGGTGTTGGATGCCTCAGAGTGTACCAGTTGGAAAAAAAAAGGGCTTTGTAATGCTTATTAAACCTTAAAAATCACAAATCGTATTGCAAATAACAAATCGAGAACTTTCTGGGGCTTCTTTTTTCTCTTTTTGTTCTTAAAAAAATCAGCAATTAAAATGTTGTGATTGTAGCATATGAAACTGAAAATAGGTGTAAATTTCGCACCAGATTTTTTGTTTTGTACTTTACTGAGAACCATTCCCATGTTTTATGCTATACTTCTGTGTTTCCACACAAAGCAATGCTAGTACACTTAGTACACCTTAGTACACCTAGTTTATTAGTGAAATGAGTCTGAGCCTCAAAAAGATTTTCTGTTTGTGTCTGTCAAATTCTTTCACATTTACTGTAAATCGACTATTTAAGGTACAATGCCACATCAAGTAATTTTTTTCACATAAAATTACATATTTTTATGTGAGCCAAAGCTCGTTTGTAGGCTCTTTCTCCTCAGTCTCTAAGCCTTTATTGATTTAGCTGTTTTTCTCTATTCTAGCAACTCTTTGCCGTTGTTTAGCTGTGTCGATACCAGTAGTTACAGATTTCATGTGCAATTACATGGGGGCACTTGAGAGAGGCACATTGTCATCCTTATCCACTAAGACAATGCTTTGTCTGTTCTCATTTTGAAATCAAGATCTTTCCTGTGGCTGTATTTCATTCCAGGTTTGCCTCTGACTTGAGGTTTGCTGCCATACTTTCAGTGCTTATCAGCTTTCTCCCTCTGACTGAATGTAATATATCTTTTAAGGTGTTACGTTCTTTGAACAAAATTGGCATTATTCTTTCATCTGAAAAATTAAATTGAGGATTCCATTTGGAAACTGTTTCACAAGAATACAGTGGCATCCTTAAAGGATCTTAGTGGCTTCAGGCCACCACTGACATTATGAAAACTGCTTGTCAAGCTCTTAACTCAGGTAGTGCCAGTCTCCTAAATGCTTGCATTTCCTGCCTCTCATATGCAGAAAGCTCTATATGTATTGGCAAAATTCCACAGCTGATGAACTTATGTGAGTGCTTAAAAGACTGTCAAAAGGCCCTGAAACACGTGAGCACTGCCCAGAAAAATAGAGCAGAGAAGTGCAGCAGCAAGGGGGATAAGCTTCACAGTAAGGGAATTCAAACTGTTCATAATCTTTTCAAGTTAAAGGCTGTGTTGTCTGCTGAGGCAACAGGAAATTTAACTTGAGTTTTCCTTATTCTAGATGACTGTTTTAACTAGTATGATACTTGCAAATGGTGATTACTCAGTTTACCTTGTGGTACAGATCCATTTCCATAGAATCATAGAATATCCCAAGTTTGAAGGGACCCATAAGGATCATCAAGTCCAACTCCTGCCACCACACAGGTCTACGCAAAATTTCAGACCATGTGATTAAGTGCGCAGTCCAAACGCTTCTTAAACTCAGACAGGCTTGGTGCAGTGACTACTTCCCTGAGGAGCCTGTACCAGTGTGCGACCACCCTCTCAGTGAAGAACCTCTTCCTGATGTCTAGCCTAAACCTTCCCTGTCTCAGCTTGACACCATTCCCTCAGGTCCTATTACTGGTGACTAAAGAGAATAGATTGGTGCCTTCCCCTCCACTCCCCCTCGTGAGGAAGCTGTAGACTGCGATGAGGTCTCCCCTCAGCCTCCTCTTTTCCAGGCTGAACAGGCCAAGTGATCTCAGCCGCTCCTCACACGTCTTCCCCTTTACGCCCTTCACCATCTTTTATTTATTTATTTATTTATTTATTTGGGGGTCATAGATTTAAATCTTAAGTTTCCACATTCTAGGGAATGCCTTATGTCTTCACATCAGGGTCATTTGTCACTCAGTTGCCCAGTTAATGTTTAAATATTTTTACAAAGTAAAACAGCTCCAATATACGATAGTGAGTGATTTTTGTACTTAAATACTCAGTTAGTGACATCAAGGCAGACTCCCAAGAATATTTGTGGTTCTGCAGTATGGGTTCAGGTCCTTGGCTATGCATCATGAAGTGCAAGCCACTGGAGTATATGTACATCAAATAAGTGTTTTAGTGCTAGGTTTTTAGTACTAGGTTGTTGGTGATTGTATCTTTTTTTTTTTTTTTCCATTTAATTTTCAGGAGAGGATATGTTTGTTCAGGATCTTAAGCAGACAAACTTTTTTGTATGCATGACAGATGTCTATTTCTGGTCACATCAGCTGTGTAATTGGAAGTATCCTTTCTGTTTTCTTATATTATTTTAACTTCATTTTGCTATACTCTAGATTTCTCTCCTTTTGCCTGGTTCCTGCAAATAGGAAGTTCAACTGTTTTAGGAAAGACATTCTTAATATGGCAAACCTGTGTCTTGCAGCAGAAGTTCCATTAGTTGATAGGGCAGTTTAGGATTAGCCATAGCAGTGCTGAAACAGAACAGCGATAAGTACTTCTGAAAATACAGTGCATGGACACCTGTTTAATACAATACAGCTAATGAGATGTATTGCTATTGTTGTGTGTGTTTGCTGTATGTCATGGGTCTGATGGTTGAAGATGATTTCTTAACCAGCAGACACTAAGAAGATATTTCCCATACAATGAAGTTATTCCACAAGTTTTTACCTCGTGGTTGTTTTATAGTCACTAGAATCATCTTTTTATGTCTTTATTTAAGATCATAACCCAGAAATAGGAAGAACATTCTATTGTGATCTGATCTAGTGATTCCTATGTCACAACAAGGTTTCTTTCTTAAAGGTGAAAACATTCTCCTTGGAACAGCATGTTGTTGTTGATATTTCAGCATGGGGTGAAGAGGAAGTTGTCATGTTAATGGAAGACACATCTATGGAGACTTTGTCAAATACACTGAAACCATCTCTGGCTCAGGTAGAGCCTCAGCCAAAAATAACTAGAGGCCAGGAAGCTGTAAAGGGGGATCATTGTTATATATTTACTCATATACATCTGCTATTGGCTGCTTTGGGGGCCAGGATGCTGGACCTTGTGGTCCTTTGGTCAGACACAATATGGATGTTCGTAGTTCTCAAATCAACCAAGTAGTACTTATTGGCCTAGTTTCTCTTTCTTCTAGGTAGCTGGTGATTTGAAGCTCTGTTGAGTTCATTCTGCTTCTGTGCTGAAGGTTTGAACTCAGTGTAAGATGTTGTAGTACACTATTAATCTGTCCTTCTTCCCTCCCTAGGCTTATGGCATTGTATGGAAAGCAATTGATCGCAGGACAGGAGAAATAGTTGCTGTTAAAAAGATTTTTGATGCCTTCAGGAACAGAACAGATGCTCAGGTGAGGTATCATTCTTATAACATGTCCTGAGGGAAAAGGAATTCATCATTACTTTCAGGATTTATGTCTCCAAAAGATACTAGTTATTTGACAATTATGTAGTAGTATAGTCTACAGCTGCAATAGGATAAAAAGGAGCAATAAATGTCAGGCTTTGTATATCTTAATAGCTATAGACTACTTTTTAATGTCACTGAGGAAAAAGTGTCTTTATAGGCATGCACAATTTGATTCTCCCTTATAATGATGTTCTGTAGTGTCCAGACTTCCATAGCCCACTTGTGACTCTATAGAGAGCAAACAGTTTTTTCCAAGCCTGTCTACCACATGGAGCTTCCATTTACTGTAGAAATGAGAATGGGTTTGTCTCTGTCATTGGAAGTCCATACTCTCTTTTGTCATTCTGTTGATGTTATAATAAATGTTTTTTGTTTATTTCTAGAGAACATTTCGAGAGATTATGTTCCTACGGGTAAGGTCCATTTTTCCCTCCTACTCTTTGATTTTTAATTATCTCTGTTCACGTATTTTCTTCCCATCCTTTTTCAAAATGATCATCACTGACGTTTCTTTTCCCTTCTTTTCTGCAATGTCTTGACAAGCAGTCTTTCCATGACTGGGCAAAAGCACCGGAATGAAATGGAGAGTTGGTCTTGAGACATGCCCTGCTTTTTCACTTTTTTTAGCAATATACCTTCTTTGTGATCGGCATATAGACTAGCACTTTCTGTCACTTCTTCCTTCCTTGTCGATGGAAAGTATTTTTCTTAAATTTTAAATGCCACTACTCAGAGATGGGGCTGGGGCATTTAAGAAGATTACATGACAAAATGTTTTTCCTCCATCACATGGAAAGAACACATCACATTGCCTGAAGCATCTTCCCAATGAGGAAAGACTGAGAGACCTGGGTCTGTTCAGCCTTGAGAAGAGAAGACTGAGAGGGGATCTTATCAATGTTTACAAATATCATAAGTGTGTAAGACAGTGGGATTTAGCCAACCACTTTTCAGTGGTTTGTGGGGATAAGACAAGGGGCAATGGTTAAAAAATGGAGCACAGGAAGTTCTGCACCAACATGCAAAAGAACTTCTTCACGGCGAGGGTGATAGAGCACTGGGACAGGCTGCCCAGGGAGGTTGTGGAGTCTCCTTCTCTGGAGATATTCAAGGCCCATCTGGACGCCTACTTGGGCAACATGCTCTAAGGAACCTGCTTTGGCAGGGCGGTTGGACCCAGTGAGCTCTTAAGGTCCCTTCAAACCCCTACAATTCTGTCATTCTGTGGTTCTGTGTGAAAGAAACTTGACCACTTGAAGTAATCAAAGCAAAACTGAAAATGTAAGTTCTGTATGAAATTACTTACAGCTGCTCATGTTTGAATATAGTTAACCACACGCTGGGCCTAATTACCTTAGCAGTGGCATTAAAATTACTTGTCCATTCCTCCATGGACTTACCATGTAGAAACATCAATGTTTTGGAATAGTGATAATGTTGTGAAAATATGATTAGCTAAAGACACAAGCAAAGCAGGGCTCACAGGCTGTTTCCTGTGACTGTCAAGTTTAAGTACAGAAGATATGAGATTTTTAAGTTTCCTATTATTCTTTAAGCCTGAAGTAAAAGCAACAGTCTTAAGAGCAAAGTGAGAAAGTGTTCTCACAAACGTGAGAACAGTTCCTAAGAGGTTGATTCTGAGTTAAATCATCTCTGAAAGTGTAGCACTTCTGGAGTAGATGGGTGGAGAAAGAGCTGTGAGAAGAAAGAGAAGGTTATCTCTCCTGAATGAAAGACCGAGATGTTTTGGGAGAAGGTGGTTAATGTACCATTAAGCCCTGACTTTCATGGCTTTTGGTTCTCAATAGTCTTAAGAATTTGAGTTTACACCTTCTCTTTTTGAAGGTTTTTTAAGCTCTAACTTAAAATTCAGGACTGAGAGAGCACAGGGTGAAAGTTGTAAAAAATATTCTTTCATTGGTAACTGGATGTTTTTCTTACATTGTTTGCCTCTGCAAATTCCTTCCTGTACGTAATGATTCCTTAGTTTCATCTGTATGTTTATCATAAAGACAGTTAATGCACTTGATGAAGTTCATTATATTTGAGAAATGTTGATTCACAATCTGGGCATTTTGATGATTCTTTTCTAAGTGGTAAGTACTATTTTCTACAATGGGTAGCTCATGAAAATATTGGCATATTGTGAAGTGCTCACAGTGTCTCTGGCTGTGAAGAGGTGTTAGAGAGGTGTTAGCTATAGGAAGTAAAAGCTGTAAGGTTGAGGACAAAGTAAATGGTCTTGACAGTATTGTCAATCTGCAAGTGTGAATTCATTCCCAGTTTAAAATACTTGTATTTCTGTATCTCTGAGTATGGTAGCTGCCTGATCTCCCATTACAATCAGTTCAATCACTGCAGTCTGTGTAGTGCTTCAGCCTGCCTTCAAGTAAACCCTTTCTGGTTAGTTAGGATTTTTAATTATGAATGGTGATGGCACCTCTGTTAAATTTGCACTACCACAATAATTCTTTACATTCAGTAGGAAATATAAGATGCATAATGTTGACTGGATTTTATCCATACATGCTGTAGAGGGATTTGTAGTACTAATGTATATATCATACAGAGTTTTAGACTGATTGGTTTCATACTGGAGCAAGCTTAAATACATTTTCAGTATTACAGTAGAAGCATAATGAAGGAAATAACATGTTAATGTTTCTGCTAGAGAATTATACAAAATGAAATGAATTACAGTACTTCTGGTGATTCACGAGAAAAACACTTGATTTTGACAGTTGGGTCTCTTCCCTCTGCAGGAATTTGGAGAACATCCAAATATCATCAAGCTGCTTGATGTTATCCGTGCTCAGAATGACAAAGACATCTACCTCATCTTTGAGTCCATGGGTGAGACTTAGTGTTGTGTCAGCCATTTAAATGCATCCTGTCTTATGAGTTATCTTTGTTCCTGCCTGTGGTAGTAATGTGTTAATGATTAACATGAATATTCATGTAAGTAGACTTGTAAGTTGGAGCAATACAGGTTTTTTGTGTATACCTGTTGTGATTAGGTGGGAATAGCAGTGAACCTTTGAAGGGAATAATAATGAGAGAACTAGCTAGTTGAGATGGAAGAAGGAAGGCAGCGAGCAACTGATTAGAAGACTTACAGAGACAGAAAGGATAATAGAATAGAATATAGAAGAGACTACATGCAGTTTTACTGTAAGAAAAATATGCAATAATGGAACAATTACTGTGGCATAAGCGGCAAGTTGAACTGACAATACAGAGACTGCAGTCACTGACTCATACTGATTCCAGTCCCTAGTGAGGTTCCTCAGGGCTCCTTTTTAGGGCCAGTTCTCTTTAATGTTTTCATAAATGACTTGGGTGCTGGACTCGAAGGTGTACTAAGTTTGTGGACAACACTAAATTAGGAGGAATTAACTCCAGTTAACTGTTAACTCCACTGAGGGTAAAGAGGCCTTGCAGAGAGATCTCGACAAATTAAAGGTCTGGGCAATTACCAACTGCATGAAGTTCGACAAGAGTAAGTGTCAGATTCTGCACCTGAATATATGTACAGACTGAGGGATGATAAGCCTGGAGAGCAATCCCATGGAAAGCAATATGGGCATTCTGGTTGACAGCGAGTTGAATATGAGTCAACAGCGTGCTCTGGCAGCCAAAGGGGCAATTGTATCCTGAGGTGCATCAGGCACAGCATTACTACACACCTAGTCAAAGGAAGTGATTGTCCCACTCTACTCAGTGCTGGTGCAGCCTCACCTTGAGTACTGTGTGCAGTTTTGGAAGAAGGACATAAAGATATAAGAAGGACATAAAACAGAGAGTGTCCAAAGGAGGGCTGCAAAGACGGCGAAGCATCTGGAGGGCAAGATATTCGAGGGGCGGCTGAGGTCGTTTGGTTTGTTCAGCCTACAGAAGAGGAGACTGGGGAGCAACCTCATCGTGGTCTACAGTTTCATCGTGAGGGGGAGTGGAGGGGATGACCAGTTGATAAGGACTGGAAGGAACAGCATGAGGCTGCATCAGGGGAGGTTTAGATTGTATATTAGGAAAAGTTTCTTCACTGAGAGGGTGTTTGAGCACTGGAACAGGCTCTCCAGGGACATCCAGTGTTAGAACATTTAGACAATGCTCTGAAAGATGTGGTTTCATTTTTGGGTGGTCCCATGCGGAACCAGGAGTTGGACTTAATGATCCTTGTGGGTCCCTTCCAACTCAGGAGAGTCTATGATTCTGTGGTTCTGTTGGGGTACTATCAGTCATGTTAACTTCCACTGAGAATGCACTCGGGAGGTTACAGTTTGTACAATGGTCTATTCTGGCCTTGTTTTGAGGTACATATTCATAACTTTATAATCCTTTACTGATGTGTATTACAGAGACAGATTTACATGCTGTGATTAAGAAGGGAAATTTACTGAAAGACATCCACAAGTGTTACATTCTCTACCAACTTCTGAAAGCAACTAAATTCATCCACTCAGGAAATGTTATTCACAGAGATCAGAAGGTATATTTCAGTCACTAGTCTTTATCCTTCACTCAAGTTTTGTGTTAAACACTAAATGGAAAAGTATGAAAAGAATTAGACTAGTATAAGAACTTTGATAATAACCTAATGCAATTCAGAGAGTAAAGAGCTTATTAGTTTTCCTTTGTTCAATTCAGCCTTCCAATATCTTGCTGGATGCAGACTGCTTTGTAAAACTTTGTGATTTTGGACTGGCCCGTTCTCTGTGTCACATGAATGAGGATCAAGGCAACCCTGCCTTAACAGAGTATGTGGCAACACGCTGGTACCGAGCCCCTGAGATCTTACTTTCCTCTCGGAGGTAACTGCTTGTTATGAGTAAAGGGATGGGACTGTATAATTTCTTCACTGCTGGGAAAAGTAATTGACTGGGAAGTCTTAAATCTGTTAATTTCAAATGTTCTCAGATGCAATGTCTTATCACAGGTTCAGTTCCTCAGCATGCATTTAAACTTCTGTTCTGCAACAGAAAAATCTCTCATTTCATGTACATTTCCCCTCTGGCCTCTTAGATTGCCAATTTACCTACATTATCAGCTCATCTGTTTGTTGTCCTTTCTCCCACCAGACTTACTCTTTATCCCATTTAAATCTGCATCTTTACAAAATTTTTAATACTTCAGTCCTCTTTTTCCAATTTTTTCTTTAAGGACTCCGGGAAGCAGGTTTTTCCTCTTCATTTTGTTGCTTGTTTTCAAGCACTACTTTTCTTTTCCCTGCCAACGGAGTTGCAAGTTTTAGCCTATTCTACTTTTCCCTAAAGAGGATTTTCCCTAGAGTATTGCTGATACTTCTCTATTGTTGTAGGTTTTTGTTTGTTTGTTTTTGACGGGGAGTGTGGGTGGTTGGGGAAGGTTGTTTTTTTTTTCTTTTGAGTTTTTGCTTGTTCATACTGTCTTTTATGTTTGGTTGCTCACTTGCTTAAAGAACTCTGCAGTTTCTGCTCTCCTTCTAGGACTAGGGAAAGAAACATGAAGTGAAAATAAGTTTGTCTCAGCTGTAACAGCTGATATGGCAAGAAGACTGCAGATACAATCTCTATCAATTTCAAATGAGGGTGATGCATAGCTAGCTGAGGGAAATTGGAATTATTAATCTTTTGCTTTCGTTGTAGATGCTTCATTTGGGATGATACCACTCCTTCTCTGCTTGCTGCAGCAACAACAGAAAGCAGAATAAGCGTTATGGGATGTTCCCATTCTGTTATGTGATGCATGGGCACACAGCATAACTGTCTTTTTCTTTACAACTCACTGAAGCATATTTAGCCATCAAGCTATGAGAACAGACCTACTACTAACACTTCAGAGTTTCTCATCCCATTTCTAGAAGTGGTATTTAGTCTTCCAGAACTCTTCATACATATTTTGGCTTTGTTGGATGACTGCATAGTCATCCACAGTCCAAATGTCTTTTTGAGTTGGCTGACATAAGCTAGCTTCTCTTTATCAACTTCTCATTTGAAAGAGCTTTTGCCAGGTTATGTTACAGAACATTTGAAGATTCTTACTTTCTAGGAAAGAAGTGAGCTGCCTGCCTTAAAGGTAGGTAAGATGTGAGATATGAATCTATACATGGACAGTTACTGCAGACCAGTTACTGTATAGTACCTAATTGGTCCATCATATGATCTGTAGCATCTAAGTCAGTATCAGATCTCATATTTCCAGATGAGCATATGTAGTCCAGCATGTAGCAGAAAAAAGAAAAAACACACACACACACAAAAAAAAAAAAAAAAAAAAAAGTGAGAGGGTAAGCACAGAACAGAGAATCTAAAGTATGTAGGAGAGTGTGGGAGAAAATGGTCATCAATTCTGAGTCTTCACTTGGAGAGATGGAGAGTTTGAGAGCAGAAAGTATATAATGAGATGGCATTCAAAAAAGAAGAGCAGACTGCATGGAGCTGAAATCGTGTGTGTGTGCAGCTTGGTACAAATACTGCTAGGACATATGAATATATCTAGTAGGCAAAGAGGTAGGATCATTGCCTTATATAAGGTAGCTTTCACCTTTCATTTTCTTAATGATTTCTGTTTCAGAAATTTCCTCCTTCGGGTGCAGATCTATGTTTCAGATTATATCTCTGTATAGCTTTTGAGCATGATACAGCCTTTAGACTATTACCCACTTCTCCTCTTTCATGTGGGTGCCAACGATGTAACCTGGCGGGATCCACTTCTGTCAATGGGCGAAATGTTTCTTGGCCTGTAACCTGGCAAGACCGATTGAGAAGGCTTTAAACTAGGATTGATGTGGGAGTACCATTAGGAATACTGTGGTTAAGCCAAGTAATGGCACAGCACTGTTTTAGGGTGGCAAGGTTAATAGGAGCATCTATGCCACTCCAGGGAGCACTGCAAGTTCAGGAACACATCTGAAATGCTTGTAGAAGAGTGCACACAGTAACAAGAAAAAATGAGATGAACTGGAAGCTTTGGACCTTTCGTAGAGTTATGATATCGTCGATATTAGTGAGACTTGGTGGGATGAGCTCCATGACTGGAGTGCTGGGATGGAGGGCTATTGGCTGTTCAGGAGGGATAGGCAGGGCAGGCAATGTGGAGTTCAAAATTTTGGGGGTAAGGAGAAGAAAGGTCAGCAGAGTTGCCACTCTGGACTTTAAGAGAGCAGACATTAAGCTTCTTAGAGAGCTAGTTAGCAGTGTTCCCTGGGAATCGGATTTAGAGAGTCCAGGGGCCCATGAGAGCTTCTTCCACAGTCACCTTTTAAAATCCCATTGTGCCACAAGTCAAGTAAATGGGGCAGAAGACCGGCCTGGCTGAACAGGGGATTCCTTCAGGAAGTAGGGCAGAAAAAGAAAATACATGAGCTCTGGAAGCAAGGTCGGCTTTACAGAGAGAGTGCAGAGGTGCAGTCTGCATCTGCAGGGAGAAACCAAGCAAAGCCAAACCTTTCTATGATTCTTACCAGTTGTTTCTAAACAGCAGCTTATATCTTCACTATTGATCATGTGAAATGTATATATTCCCTTATCCTAGTATTCACCTTTAATATAGTTCCTTTTCTGGTTTTATAGAGTATACTTTTAATGGGATAAGCCTTTTTTTTTCTGTTTTGCTCTTGCCACTTTCATAATTCACCAGTGTCATTCACTCTATAATCAAAACCTGTTCATACTCAAGGAGTAATCAAGCTTATTTTTCTAGCAAAATAAGGTAATGTAGACAATATGAATACCAAGTACTGGAAAAATAAACCTAACTCTGTTCTTCTTTTATTTGTAGCTACACTAAAGGGGTAGATATGTGGAGCATTGGCTGTATTCTGGGGGAACTGCTACTTGGGAAGCCTCTTTTTCCTGGAACATCAACAGTGAATCAAATAGAGCAGATCTTGAGGGTCATTCCTGCCCCATCCCGAGAAGGTAAGACTCTTCTATGGAGAAAGGTATGTAGAGAAGAGATAAAAAGAGTGAAAGCAAGCAGCCTGGCTGGATCAGGAAAAATATATCTGTGGTAGGTTATTCTACCATCTTCCCAATGAAGCTGAAGATTATCTGTGAAATGTTAGTGTTGGAGGAACATAGGCCTGTACTTGATTAGATGAGAAACAAGAACCAGGGCTTGAAAACATTTTTGAGATTTGTAAGATGGTAACAGTTTAAAACAGAGTATCATACTGCAGAGGGACTTCTGTAATAACAGTAAATTGGGCTTTTTGGTCTGGAAGTCTAAATACAGAATTGAAAGCTGGAGAAAGTATATTTTAAATCCAAAATTGATTATTATTATGATTGTCTTCTATAGCTTCTAGTCTAACAGTCCATACAGTTTACTAACTTTTGCAACATAACGTTCTGACTGAACTAACAAACAGTTTTTAGAAAGATAGCTAACTTTATTTTAAGAACATGTTTTGGATAATTCTATTCTAGTTTAAATGTATGTATGTTTTTTCTTGGAGATTTCATTGCTGTGAATAAAATATGGATGAAAATGTATATGAAAATACCAAAACTAAAGTTAGAATAGCCTGCACTAATAACAAAAATGTGAATAGCATTTTAGGACCATTCTCAGCAATATAATTGAAAAGTGTGTTGCTAATGTTATGACCGGAAGGCTTGCACTCTGATAAGACCACAGGGCAAGTGACTCACTATCAGAAAGTCCTGTATCCTAAACACAGCAAGAAGGTTGTGAGACACATTTCTTTTTTTGCTAGACAAACAAGTACAAAATAGACATATGTTCAGAGTATTCCAAATGTGGAAAATCAAGCTAATAACAGCAACTTAACCTAAAATCCCCTTGCAACTGTTCATTGTAACCCCAATGGTGCAATGAAGAAATTGATAGCTGGTATTCCTCGTAGTCTGTTTAAAACACAAGTGATTCAGGCCAGATCATTTTGCCTCAGATATCCTAGTGTTTCTAAGTATGTAGGTATAAGAGTACACGTTTCTGAAATCTACAGAGAAGTAAATAGGAACCATGAAAGAGCGTTTTTAAGTCAATATTCCACCCCCCTTCCATAGGATTTCCTACTGAGCTTTCTTAGGCTAATTTCTTCTTTCAACGTGTACATGGGCAGAGGCCAGTGGGATGAGGTTCAACATGGCTAAGTGCTGATTCCTGCACTTTGGTCACAACAACCCCATGCAATGCTACAGGCATGGGGCAGAGTGGCTGGAAAGCTGTGCAGAGGAAGAGGACCTGGAGGTGTTGGTTGACGCTCACCTGAACACGAGCCTGCAGTGTGCCCAGGTGGCCAAGGAGGCCAACGGCATCCTGGCTTGTATCAGGAACAGTGCAGCCAGCAGGACCAGGGAGGTGATCGGTCCCCTGTGCTCAGCTCTGATGAGGCCACACCTCGAGTATGGTGTTCAGTTTTGGGCGCCTCACTTCAGGAAAGACATCAAGGCCCTGGAACATGTCCAGAGAAGGACTACGAAGCTGGTGAAGGGCCTGGAACACAGGTCCTGTGAGGAGCAGCTCAGAAAACTGAGGTTGTTTACCCTGGAGGGTCAGGGGAGACCTTATTGCTCTCTACAACTACCTGAAAGGAAGGTGTGGGGAGCTGGGGGTCGGCCTCTTCTTGCAGATAACCAGCGATAGGCCTAGAGGGAATGGCCTCAAGTTGTGCCAGGGGAGGTTTAGGTTGGAAATTAGGAGACATCTCTTCTCAGAAAGAGCAGTCAGGCACTGGGACGGGTTGCCCAGGGAGGTGGTGGGGTCACCGTCGCCGGCGGTGTTTAGGGAAAGGTTGGACGTGGTGCTTGGGGACATGGTCTAGTGGGTGATATCGGTGGTGGGAATATGGTTGAACCAGATGATCTTGGAGGCCTTTTCCAACCTTAATGATTCTATGATTCTTATGTTAATGTCAAACACTTGCTTTCCTTCATAAACTGTATAGCTCTGGTAACCCTAATCTTGGCATTAATGGTATCTTTTCATTATTCCAGATATTTTGGCTATGCAATCAGATTACAGGGCCTCAGTTATTAGCCGCATGAGTTCCTGGTAAGCTGGGTATATTAAATATGTCTCAGAAGTCAACAATCTACTGTATAATGTGGACAAAAAAATCACCTGTTGTTCACCTTCCAGAGTTCACCAGTAGAAATGCTTTCTGCTCTCTGCACATTCACCTGACTTCAGGGAGGGGATGTAAAGTTTAAAAAGAAAAGAGTGATGAGAAGAGTGATGACATTGTAATCTGGGAGTAACAAAGCAAAAATGAGGTTGGACCTACATTCCAAGCTATTGTCATGTGTACTTTCTCAAAATTATAAATTTTTCTATCCTGACTTTTTTAGGTATCTAATGTCATTGGTTCACACATGGAAAGCCTGATAATTCTGCTTAAGTAAATTAGTCAGTTATTACATACCTGATTAGTAAAAGTTAGGAAACTTAACACTCTTAAAGCCATAGCAAGTTAGTCACGATTCTCTGTACTCAGAGAGGCTACTTCAAAGATCCAAAAGGGTACCAGTATGCTTTTGGTGTAGCTGCTATGGTTACAGAGATTAAACAGCTGTCTACAACTTCCTAGCCTCTCAGTGAATCCTGTAATGGGGCTGCTGCATGTCAATAAGCAGGAAGTGTAGAGGTGGGGATGTGAGTAAGCAAGCAAGGGACTTAGCTGCCAACTAGGGTCAACCCAATGCAGTACCTCTGAGCTGTCTTGTTTCTATAACCCTTCTCCACAGTGGAATAAAACTACTGGAAAACTCCATTCATTCCTAGCTGAAATGCACTTTTTTTTGACAGTCCTGCTCCTAGATTTTATGCTCCTTTTTTTTCACCTGAAAATATGGAATACAAATGGCTAGGTTCTGATAGACAGATCCAGCTAGGTAAAAGAACAAGTGAAATCTTGTTCATGATTTTTTCTGAGCCATTCAATCCAAATCCAAATTCCGTGTTGGATCATTTTTCTAAACTAAAAATAATGTTGTCATGGAGTAATAAAATGTTTTAAAATATGAGTAAAAATAATGTTTTAAAACAGTTTTTTCAAATGATTCTATGATTCTATGAAATGCATTAAATATTTTCATGTTTGTTATGTTAATAAATATCTTCAGGATTTAAAAAATGCAAAACCAGATTTTTAAACTTCATCTTTTCATTGCAAATGATATAGAAATATATTTATGTGGTCTTAGGGTTGGATTCATGGAATCAGCATTTAAACTGAAACACGCAAGTTAGGAGTTTGGGCTTCCTGCATTGTCAAAAGAAGAACAGAAGTACTTCCACAACACTGATCATTACTCTGTGTTCTGGCATACTGACCTGTATCTCTCTTTCCACTGAAACAAGAGAAAGACTAGTCTTAAAAGTTAGGCAGGCACTTCACATAGGTTCATAGCACTGAGAGGAAGGAATCCAAACCTAATCAAAGAGGTAAAAGTCTTTGTCATACTCACAGACCTGTGCTTTTGAGTGTTCCAGAATTATGACACACTATTTGTGAGTGAACTCTGGAGACAGGTGTCACCTTGATGAGATTCCCAGAACTATAATTCATGACTTACCTGTGAGTTAGACATTGGGTTCTTATATCATTGTTTCCTGACTTCTAGGCAACGAGTAACTTTTGAGGAGATTTTACCATCCTCTACTCCTTTGCCTGCCTTGGATCTTCTGAAGAAACTTTTAGTGTTTAACCCTGATAAACGGCTGACAGCAGAGGAGGCCCTTCAGCATCCTTACGTGAAAAGGTGAGACTAATATCATAGAATAATAGAATAGTTTGAGTTGGAAGGAACCTTAAAGATCATCTAGATCCAACCTCCCTGCCATGGACAGGGACATCTCCCACTAGACCAGGTTGCTCAAAGCCCCACCCAACCTGGCCTTGAACACCTCCAGGGATGGGGCATCCACAGCTTATCTGGGCAACCTGTTCCACTGCCTCACCACCCTCAGAGTAAAGAATTTCTTCCTTACATCTAATATAAATCCACCCTCCTCTAGTTTACTCCTTGTCCTATCACTCCACTCCCTGACAAAGAGTTCCTCCCCAGCTTTCCTGTAGACCTCCTTTAGATATTGGAAAGTTGTTATAAGGTCTCCTTGGCACTTTCTCTTCTCCAGGCTGAACTATCCCAACTCCCTCAGCCTGTCTTCTGAGGAGAGGTGCTCCAGACCCCTGATCATCTTTGTGGCCCTGCTCTGGACTCGTTTTAATACTTCTGTGCCCTTGTGCTGGGGGCCCTAATGCTGAATGCAGTACTCCAGATGGGGTCTCAAGAGAATAGAGCAGAGGGGAAGAATCACCTCCCTTGATCTGCTGGCCATGCTTCTTTTGATGCAGCCCAGGATATGGTTGACTTTCTGGGCTGTAAGCGCACATGTATCAATTCGCCGTTTCTTCTGCTGTCTGCTGAAATGGTATAGAGCTGCTTTTGGCACAAGTTTCCTTTATATCCATGGTAGAAAAAAAGACAAAGCTAAATCCTAACTCTCTCTAACCCTATTTAGACTAGAGAGAACACTAGGTGATCTGACAATCCTTTGTAATACTGTATTAAACTGTAGAGCTGTTTTTAGTCTTAGTGACTTATGTTGTGTTGTCATCTTAGGTTTCATTGTCCTGCCAGGGAGCCCTCTTTGGATTATGATGTGATTCTTCCTTTAGTTGATGATATCCAGCTATCTGTGGCAGAATATCGAAATAAATTGTATGAGGTACATTCTTCTATTTTCTGAAATCTCAATCCTCCAGGTAACCTGTAATTCTTGACACACTGATTTCTGTCATTTTCTTCTATTTCCATTCCCCTTCCATGCTTACTTACAGGTACAGCTTGGTGCTTCTTATCATACTGTCATAATTTTTTAGAGAAGTGTTTAAATCTAGATTCCCACTGGGAAAAGTCTGTAAAGCCTGGTGTCTGAGAAAGACTGTGTTAGAGGAAAATATATTAGGCTGGATCCAACAGCCTAAGAAATGAGGCTGTTGCCACTTGGTGTCCCCAGGTCCAGACACTAGAAAGCCTCAAAGTATTCCCTGTAGGCTCAGGCATACAGAGAACGTAGGCACACTACATATATACATACATAAATGGACAGCCACACAGGTCACAGACAGACAGAGCACTCACACAAACATAGCACCAATAGCCTCATCCTGCTCACTTCTCTGGCTGAGCAACTGGTCTCAAGCACTGTCTGACCAGTAGCTGTCCCCTCCATCCCAGGCCCCCCAGTTACTGCACTTGAACATATGAGCCCCCAAGACAGCAGCCCTACACGGATTGCTGGTATAGACCATGCAAGCATACATATACAGCTGCCCTGGATTTTCTAGGCCCTTTAGCTGATGTTCCTTGTGCTCTCACACCTAGAGATACAGAGGTGCTCTCATCCCCTTAGAGACCCGCTCACCTCTGTGCTCCCAGACTATTTGAGCCATTCACTGACTAGACTAGACTGGCTTGATCTGCTAGCCATTACATCACCATTAAAGGCTGATGGCTTTGCTGAGACAGCTCTTGGAGTGGCCCAGTCAAGGTGTCTGCTTCCCCAGAGTCCTTAATTTGAGTTCCCATTTGCCATTGTGCACTTGTGTTCCTCTCAGTTTGTGCAGATGTGTCTTTGACTGGCTGGTGGTTCCTGTGAATTGGCTTGAGAGCAGCTTGGCATGGTATTATTTGGGGTCCCCATCCTGGTTCTCTTTCTGAGCTCCTTTATGGATTTACATGTAAGCTTTTATGACATATTTATGTTTATTGCTCAAGAGTAGTCAAGTGCCATTGCATGATGCACCACATACACAGAACAGTCAGGTTTCAGAATTACAGAATCACAGAATATCCCATGATGGAAATGACCTACAGTGAACATTAAGTCCCTGGCTCCACACAAGACCACCCAGAAGTCAAACCATGTGTCTCAGAGTGTTGTCCTAATGCTTTTTAAACTCTGGCAGGCTTGGTGCCACAATGACTTCACTAGGGAGCCTGTTCCAGTTCCCAAAAACTCTCTCAGTGAAGAACCTTTTTCTAATATCTAACCTGAACGTTCCCTGATGCAGCTTCAAGCCATTCCCTTGGGTACTGTTGCTGGTCACCAGAGAGAAGAGATCAGTGCCTCCCCATTCCCCCAGTGAAGATTAAGCATAGATGAAGTGCTAATAATAAAAGACAGTGATATTTTAGTAGCCATATTGTGAATGCATTAATGTGGGAAAATAGTAGTACTTGAAAAATCAGAAAATAGTGTAATAATCAGGGAAGAAAAAAAAAAGCTGATACTGGACTTTTAGCTGTACGGGGGAGAAAGGAAAGGTAGTATTTTGATGCTATTTGGCAGACATGTTAAGATCAAAAGGAAAATAAAAAGCTGACAGTAATTTGGCAGTGGAGCTGATTTGGCATCTTCAGTGAAATAATATGAGTAGATGAGATCTGCTTTAAAAAAACAAAGCAAGAGAGAAAAGATGAGAAAGACTTAGAGAAACTTCTGCAGAGAACAGAAGTAACTAAAGTAACCGTTTAAATGTAATGTTTAAAGGAATGAAAGAAGATCAAAATTAAGATAAATCAGATTTAATTGTCGGACACAATGGACTGAATTGAATGGTGGTGTGAGGCAGTAGGAGGAGGATAGCAACAGTGAATGCTCTAACAATGAAATAAAACGAGCAGCAAAAGTGGAAGTAAGTCAAGACTTCAGGATAAGAAATTGTTTTGGGCTTTTTTCCTTATTTTTTTTCAGTGAATATTTTGTGAATATTATGAGGCAAAGTATCTGGAAGATGGTGAGAAAAGCAGGAGCTGGAAAGTGAATGTAGTAAAACAGGCATTGGAAAGAATGTCAGTGGGAAGAAAAGGTTGAGAAGGAAGCTTAGAGATCAGAAAATCTCAGAATGAGAAAGATTGATAAGGGTGACCAGCTTGCCAGGGAGAGAGAAAAAGCATTACTGCTTCTATGAACAGCAATTAAAATTTTTAAAAAGGAAAAAGAAAGTTGTTTTTTTAAAAAAGGTGAACATAGTGAACATTTCTTTTAAGGTCTTTAAAGGAAAAAAAAACTCTACTGTGAAAAAGTGTTAGGAGTCATGAGCAGATGACTGAGAAAAATGAGTACTGAGCATAAGTAGGAAAGGTATTACAAACATCAGTAGATCATTCACAGATAATCTAGGTACAAGGTTAAGAAACACATTTTGACTAATCCTAATGATAGTGTGCCAAGTTCGGCATGACTGTGATCAGAGGAGGGTGAGAGCAGGTTGTCTGTACCAAGACTCCAAACCTCAGCAAGGATTCTAATGCTAGATAATAGCCATGTAGAGGTAGGTGAGATTATGAACTAACTGCAATGTATGTTCCTCTGACAATTTAGAAATTGACTTGGCAAAATTCTAGAAAGAAATGGTAAGAAACAGCATAGTGTTAACCATCTTTTACCATATAGATTCTGCCTTTCCTGTAGCTAATGGCAACTTTATGTAGTGGTATTCTCCCTAAAGATGCATTGAAGTTGCCTGTTGATCCAATCCTTTTTCTTAAGGCTTCAGCCCATTCTTTCTTTCCACTAAGAATATTATTTCTATCTTCTTTCCAACCCTAAATTACTTTTAAAATTATAATTTTTACATATCCCATGAAATAAATTATTTGCATGTTTCTCTCTTTTTTTTTTTTTCTTTTTTTTTTATTCCTCTGCTTTGCTGTGTAGAGTGTTAAGTCTAACTGACTTTTCCTTTCTGTAGATGATCCTTGAAACGAAAGTAAATAGCCATCCAAAGGAGCAAATGCAGAGAGAAAACATTCAACTAAGTCAATCTCAGTCCAGGCCATTTCTTCCATATTCCAATTCTATGACTTTACCCACCAGGAAGAGCCAGAAAGAACCAACACCACCTCTTCTAAAAAATCCACAAATGCATAGTGGAACTACAACTGCTGTCCAGCCAGAAGTATCCATCCAGAGTGAAGATTTAGCAAGATCTTTATGTCAGAGATCAAGGATCAATGTGATATACAATCCCATAACACACATTGCTATTCAAAGTAGGTACTACCATCCTGCAATTGGATGCAATGCACCATAATGAGGCATTATTATGGAGAAGAAAGAGGAAAATAGATTGAATGAGGAAAAAGAATTAACAGGGCAAAATGAGAGTGAAACTGTGGGAGGAAAATGACATAAGAGCAAAACACTGTTGAATGACTTTTGAGTGTGTAATGTTCTTTTTAGCTCTTGGCTGCCTCAGTCTTGACCCTTTACCTTTTCTGTTTTCTCTTCAGTTACTTCTCTGGTGCTGTTTTCTTTTCCCCTGCTCTTTTGAACTGGTTTTGTTTGCAACTTCTTTCTAATTTTATTCGGAATATTTTTGTCCAGTTAGTGAGATTAAGTGTTGTGGCTGAGGCTGACTCACTGTTTATACTCTGTCCCTGCTTCAGTTAGTGTGTTCTGTGTCCTCATGATTTTCCTACTTTCTCTCATGTTTTTTTTTCTCCTGCAGGTAATGCAAATTCTGGTGCTGTGATCAGGAACCATTCTGCACCACATCATCAACAGGCAAAAACTTCTAACAACGGAAAACCAGGGAGACAAATCACATGGACAAATGCAAATACTCAGCTACTTCCTAGAAGTGTACAGAACCTCTGTAATGTAAGTAGCAGTCTTGCACAGAAAACAGATAACTTTTCAGGGACCGAAATGATGTAGACAAAAAATATCTTGATTTGCAGCTTCGTAAAGATACTTACATGAGAGGCAAGTCATATTGCTCTGATAGTTACTAAATTACTGTCCATCAGTTAAAATTACTTATGATAAAGATACACACTGCAATTTCACTGCCTGTATCTAGTGTCAGTCAAATGGTATAGGTCTTGTACTGAGTATGTTCCCTTTACTAGAGCACTGAGGAGTGTGCTAACTGATGTTTCTGGAAATAACTGGTCATAACTTACCTCTAATATGCAGTGGATTGAGACGGAAGCTTGAATATTCTAGTCGTCTGTGTTGCAATACCTACATTTCCAGTGTTATGTCTACTAATGAAGTTTACAACCCTCAGTTAAGTTCTGTACAAAAGGCAGCATGTTGAGAGGAAGACCATGTAATGACCAGGAAACACCAAAGACAGAGATGTGTCTTAAACCTTACATCTCCAACATATGTAATGCTGATCTTCAGCTACTCTGGGTTTATAAACACAAACTTTCTCCTGGAATTTTAAGTCTAACCGCAGTCTTTCAAATGAATCCATTGTCATCTCTGAATTGAATAAGAGCATTTCAGTGCTTATAGGTTCATGCAGGAGTTCTGTGAATGACCGTTGAACTTAAATAAAGGATTTAGGCACTTTAGAGAACATAAAGTAACACAGCCTTTTGTAATACTAGGTTTCTGCTTCATAATCAGGACTTTTTTTATAATCAGCAATGTGTACTGGCAGCCAAGAGGGCAAACTGCATTTTTGGGGTGCATTGAATGTAGCATAGCCAGCCAGCCAGAAGAGGCATTTCTCCCACTATACTTGGCATTGATGCAGCCTCACCGTGAATATTGTGTACACTTCTATGCTCCACGATATACAAAATCTATTAAGATACTTGAAAGCGACTAAAGCCACTAAAAGGGCTGGAAGGCATGTCCTGTGAGGACACTTGGGTTGTCTAGTCTGGAGAAAAGAAGGCTAAGAGGTGACTTCATTGCTCTCTACAACTTCCTGAGCAGGAGAAATGGAAAGGGAGGTATAGGTTTCTTCTCCCTGGTAACCAGTGATAGAATGCAAGGGAACAGCACAGAAGTTCACCAGTGGACGTTCAGACTGGATATTAAGAAAAATTAACCACCATGAGGGTGGCCAAACACTGGAGCAGACTTTCTGGAAAGGTGGTTAACATGCCAGTCTGTGTTCAAGAGGCATTTGGATAATGCCCTCTCTAATTATAGGATCATAGAACACCTTGGGTTGGAAGGAACCTTAAGATCATCTAGTTCCAACCCCCCTGCCATGGGCAGGGATGCCACAGGAGGTGGCAGATCAGATTACTCAGGGCCTCATCCAGCCTGGTCTTGAACACCTCCAGGGTTGGGGCATCCACAGCTTCTCTGGGCAACCTGTTCCAGTTCCTCGCCACCCTCTGAATGAAAAATTTCCTCCAAACATCCAATCTAAATGTCCTCTTTTTTAGTTTAAAACCATTCCCTCTTGCTCTGTCATTGTCTGACCGAGCAAAAAGTTGCTCTCCATCCTTTTTATAAGCCCCCTCTAAGTATTGAAAAGCTGCAATAAGGTCACCTTGGAGCCTTCTCCAGGCTGAACATCCCCAGATCTCTCAGCCTTTTTTCATAGGGGAGTAATATGCTTTAACTTCTGGTTATCCCTGAAGTGGTCAGGTGGTTGAACTTGATGATCTTTGAAGGTCCCTTCCAAGTGAACTATTCTATTCCATTCTAAATCTTAATCACAATGGATCATAACTATCAGATAACTGTAATAAAAAAGGTAGAAATTTCTCTGCAAATTCTCTTCCTGTTTCTTTTTTCCATCTTGAATTTTTAATGCAACTTCTTTTGAGATGTGCTGAGATCAATGACCATACTTTCCTTTGCCCTTTTTGTAGAGGACAGGCTAATTTTGACTCCATTCTGCTTTCAATTTTATCACTTCAGACAAGTGGGAATTTGAATACCATTTCAAATCATTGCATTGTTCAGGTTATCATCAACTCCCTTTGACTTCAAGAATCACAGATCAGTTGCTTTTAAATTCTCTTCAATAATGGTGTGTGAAGTCCAGAGCATGTAGGTAGCATACTCCTTTTTTAACCTGATTGTCACAGTTGGATATTCCAAATTTAGCTGGAGAATTTGTACTACCTTTATTGTCAGCCTAACGGACTGCTGTTGCTTAACAATGAAGGTTTCAGTCCTGTCCCCTGCTTCTTCCTCTTCTCTCTTCCTTGCTTTGCTTCTTTGTGCAAATTCCCATGTTCATTGGGTTCTTAAATGACTCTGTGCCCCTGCTTTTTCTTTATCCTTGAGCTAGTTGTCTGCTGACAAACTCAAGGAGAGCCTAGCCAACACAAGGTGATCATGGCAAAAGAAGATGGAATAAGGCACCACAAATTACCCTTTTTGTGACAGTAAAGATTGAATTATTTATTGTGAGACTTTCTCACATCCCCACAAAAGAATACTTGAATATCTACATGCTGGAGCTCCAAACCATTCAAAATGTATGCTGAGTGCAGTTCAGTTGGATGAAGAGACTTCTGACAGAAATTCTGACAGATGACACTGTCAAAGAAGAGTCAGGTGTGATCAGCTGCTTTGTATCAGCATGCAGTATCATACCTTAAAAGAGACTATTTCCCTGAACACAGCTCTGAAAGATTAGAACTATTTCAACCTAGAAACAAGCTGAGGACAATGTTAAGCATCAAGCTTGTTCTTATTAATAGCATCGATAGGTGATTACTCCCAGGCCTATGGAACTGTATGTAATTCTGCAGTGCGGAGTCTTCCAATTTCAAATTCCTCCCAGCAATATGAGTAGCAAATATGAAAGAGTTCTAACCAAGTGAAATACAGCTTGTCTCATCAGTCCCCTAACCTAGCCAGTAACAGCAATCTGTTGTGATTGATTCAAAAATATATACGAGTAGTTGCTCAAAGGAGACATGATTTCTACAAAGTTCAATGTAAGTCCACATGTGCACACTAACAACCCACCTTTCAGCCTTTCTGCCTTGGAATCCCATTCAAAGCTTTTTGAGATTAGTAGAGAACTATTTATTCCACATGTGAGGAACAAGTGTGGAACCATTAATGCCACAATGTGAGATTGTGGAGATTATTGCATGTGCAAATATGTATATAAACAATGCGTTTTGAAGATTCTCTAGGCACTTGTGACTAACTTCATGCTACTGGAAGCACATAAGAGGGAGAAGATCATGCTACACGTGCTTTGTATTTGTTCCCTGAGAGGCTAACACTGACCATTGCCAGAGACAAGATATTGTGGTGGGTGCTCATCAGCATTGTGGCTAATCATGTGTTAAGTGAATTTTGATTTTTCCATCTTTCTTGGTCAGCCTCAGCAGGAGCTGAAAAGTTCTGACATTCCAGCTTGCTCTGCATTCATTTTGCATTCATTTCTAGTATCAAGTCAGGCTCATGAAACTCTTGTTCTCTGCCATTTGACTCCTATAATGGCTGGGATGACAGCAGTCAGTGCCACTCTTAGTGTCTTCCAGTTAACTAAAGCGGTTCACTAAGCATAAGCTGCAGTGAGACAGCTGTCCTTTAAAGCTGCAGTAATATATACAGTAATGTATTATGCATTTTAAAGCATTAATACTTGGTTAACTTTCCCCCACATGGGCTAATGTCCATAAGCAATTTCCAACTCAGACACTTACCAAGCCATTTGACTGGCAGAAGCCAGGAGGATGTACTGGGGAATGATGAGGATGACCTGTCTTTTGTACATTTATTTAAACCATTCACTACCACTGAAAACAAAATACTAGCCAAACAGACCTTTGAACTTTTGCTCCAGTGCTCCAATGCTGCTAACTCATTCCTGATACTCCCATTTTAAAACCCTTCTCCCTCACATCATTCTTGCCACCCTGTTCCTAATACTATGAAACACTCTATTTTGTTAGTTAGTCAATTAACATTCAAGATCTGTTCTACTCCACAGCCGAAGCAAATTCTTTGTTCCTTACTTGTATTTTAGAATGCCGATTACAGATTTCTAGCTGTCTTTGTTTTTCTTTCTCACACAGAATCCAAGAAATACTCAGTTTCACAGCAAAGATGTCCGTCCCCTTCTGAAATCCAGTAAAAAGATGTTCCAGGTTACTGCAAATATGGGAGCTGCTGGTGATCCAAAAGCATCAATGGGCAGTTACTCCCAGGCCTATGGAACTATATGTAAATCTGCACTGCAGAGTCTTCCAATATCAAATTCTGCACAACAACATGAATAGTGAATATGAAGAGTCCTAAACAGGTGAAATACAGCTTATCTCATCAATCCCCTAACTCAGCCAGTAACAACAAGTAAGAGCCAAATATAAATGGCATTTGACAGTTACCCCAGCTGAAGAGAAATGCTTTATTCATTGCATGGAACAATGTACCACCTTCCTTTGGACAAACCAACAGGGAAAAGAATCTAATCTCTTTGCCTTACAGTCTTCCCAGACAAGGACACAGAACTATTTGCTCCCCTAATCTGAGAACACTGAATACTGTCAGTTCATATTCCTCATTTTAATTATTGCAAAAAAATTACAGAAGGTTGCAATGTTTTAATGCTTGACTATCTTTAGACATATTCAGGTTTCTTTAGCAGCTTCAGGTGCACTGCCTAAGTCCAGACTTTTTTTGAGCAGAATAAGTAACTAACTGTTTGCTGAAGGCCAAGAAGACTGAACAAACCCTTCGCAGGTAACATTAAAGCCCTTCATACACTAATTTCTATAGGACTCTTTCATGGTAAATGAATGAACCTGAATAAACAAAAAGTTAATGGTGGCCTACTTCAACAAAATCAAGTAGATAAGTATTTTAAATATATGTGGATTCTGTTAGAATATTGAATACCCTACCTACCATGCATTAATATATTTTGTAAGTGTTGCAATAATAAATTCTTTATATTGCACTACAGAAAAAAACCTGTCTTTTAATTGATGTTTGCAGTCTGTTGAAGGGGGAGAAATACAAGGGTAATTTTGTTCAGTGAATAAGATTATGGTAATTTTTTTCTTACAGAAAGCAATGTTCCAAGGGATGTTATTGCTGCAACATCGTTAAGCTGTCATCAGGCAGCAGTAGGAATACAGTAAACTTTAAAACTGTTTTTGTGGTTTAATGCTGATTTTTAATATATTCTTTTTATTTAACTCCTAAATTCTTATAAGAAGTCTCTGTCCCTGAAACTTCACTTCACCTTTGATAAGTGATTGCTATTCCAGAACTTTGGGACAGGGGTTACAGTGGGGATTCAGGCACTAAACTGCAAGATATGAGTATTATTGCCATCGATAGCATATCCATTTTATCTTTTAGTACATAAACACCAAAGTCTAATTAAATTAAAAAAAAAAAAGTAACGGGTTCACTTCTGCTATGTAGTGTGCACATTTAAATCTGGTAATACTAGGGAGCTGGGACTGCAACTCACTGGGAAGCCCTGGTTTATATTCATAAAATAGGCATTTCCTGTCTGTCTCAGGTACAGACAGAAATAGTAAATGACAATGACAGGGTTGTATGGGCAGCACTTTGCACAATGTGTTGGCTCTTGTGAGTTTAAGATGACAGTTCTCATTCACTGAAAAGTCAGCCTAATGCTTATTTCAGGTTTGTGAGTTCCACTGAAAGCCTAGCACCTATCAGTTTGATGGTACAGTGAAACATGTAAGACCCTCTGTGAACCAGGTCTTAGATTGACAAGTGATGGGCTGTAACACTAACTTTTTATCCTTAAAATAGCTTTTGTTATTACCAAGTGAATTAGTTATTCTGCAACATTTGTATATACACCACAACAGCTGGTAATCAATTTACCACTAAAAGAGATGAGTCATTCTGGTTCTAGTCAGGAACATACTGTTACACTGAAAACACTATGCTGATCAAGATAAAATTCTAACAGTCTAAACAAATGAAGAAAAATTCTAAAATGTTCATGTAATTTGTCATTACAGAAATAACTACATTTCCAACATGTCTATTACAGAACGATACTAGAGCAGGTAGGTTTGTCAAAGGCTGGTAAAGCAAGAGATTATATGAATTACACAAAATAGGGCTTGCATATATTACTTATAAGATATATAACTATGAAGAGTGTAGAGTAGGATTAATATCTGAATCACTGGACACAGAACAATTGTCTTGATAACTTTAGTAAGAACCTATCTGTGACTGGATCTGATTCAATATGAAAATGAAATAAGCATACATACAGTATCAATTTATGAATTTGTGCCTGTGTAACTGATTATAGTTTGTATCTGAAATAGTATACATATATGGAATGTGGAATAAGATCCACTTCAGCTTTTTTTCCAGATTTGGTTGATTCCTCCCTCCTTATTTATTTACAGGGAAGTTTATTTTTAGGTTTAATTTCTCATGTTAAAAAAATTCTTTTGTTTCTTGCAAATTTATCCATACCATCTATAATAGTATGGAAATTGGCTTATTTTCTTTCAGATCAGCATCTTCATTTCCCAAGATTTTCAACAAACCATAAAACTATCATTAATTGTTAAAGATACGCAAATTATATAAAGCCTGCTACCATGGGAGCTGGCATCCTAAAAAAAAAATCTCTGAGTTTTAAATACCCTACTGATTTACCTTCAGGAACTGTTGCAGCCTTCTGCTTCCATCTGTCAGCTACATACCTGAAGAGGTTTGCTGAGCTTGCAGCCAACACCACAAGTGGATAGTCATGAAACCAAAGCTTATGGAAAGAAGAAATTCAGAAGTCTAGTTCCATAGAATCATAGAATCATTAAGGTTGGAAAAGACCTCCAAGATCATCTGGTTCAACCATATTCCCACCACCGATATCACCCACTAGACCATGTCCCCAAGCACCACGTCCAACCTTTCCCTAAACACCGCCGGCGACGGTGACCCCACCACCTCCCTGGGCAACCCGTCCCAATACCTGACTGCTCTTTCTGAGAAGAAATTTCTCCTAATTTCCAACCTAAACCTCCCCTGGCACAACTTGAGGCCATTCCCTCTAGGCCTATCGCTGGTTATCTGCAAGAAGAGGCCGACCCCCAGCTCCCCACACCTTCCTTTCAGGTAGTTGTAGAGAGCAATAAGGTCTCCCCTGACCCTCCGGGGTAAACAACCTCAGTTTCCTGAGCTGCTCCTCACAGGACTTGTGTTCCAGGCCCTTCACCAGCTTCGTAGTCCTTCTCTGGACATGTTCCAGGGCCTTGATGTCTTTCCTGAAGTGAGGCGCCCAAAACTGAACACCATACTCGAGGTGTGGCCTCATCAGAGCTGAGCACAGGGGACCGATCACCTCCCTGGTCCTGCTGGCTGCACTGTTCCTGATACAAGCCAGGATGCCGTTGGCCTCCTTGGCCACCTGGGCACACTGCAGGCTCGTGTTCAGGTGAGCGTCAACCAACACCTCCAGGTCCTCTTCCTCTGCACAGCTTTCCAGCCACTCTGCCCCATGCCTGTAGCATTGCATGGGGTTGTTGTGACCAAAGTGCAGGAATCAGCACTTAGCCATGTTGAACCTCATCCCACTGGCCTCTGCCCATCGATCCAACCTGTCCAGGTCCCTCTGCAGGGCCTTTCTACCATCTGGCAGATCCTTCTCATTCATCTCTTTAGATCGAAAAACAAACAAACAAGCAGTTTGGCAATCCTGAGTAATGCCAAGCAGAGGCAGTCCAAGTTAAGGAAAAAAAAACAAAACTTTATGTTCAATGGTTTCTTGGCCTCTGACTCTACCTTCGATCTTGTGAGACAGTATAACACATCAGCATGAACCTACAGATTAATCTGGACTGTGTCTAATACCACGTGCTTAAGCTTGCTACCAAAGCCATACAAGAAAGTTGGGTGATAACACACTTCTGAGTTCGAACATTCCATCAGGATTGCCAAACTGGGAAGGTGTGCTAACAAATGACCCTCCCCCTCCTCCTTTAAGGTATTGGAGTTACATAGTCAAGTAAGTTACTGCTTGACTAAAGCAGCGTTTTACAGGCTATAACACCCAACTCAGCTGAAAAGTAGTTCTAAAACCATCTCTTTCTCCATTAATAAATTGTCAGTTTCTTCTTTTATGGCCTTCCAGCTTCTTCTCTCAGCTCAACTTCTGATGCAATGCTTCCATTATACATAAGGATACAAACCAATAACAAAGCACAACCAATAGGCTTGTAAAATGGTAAATATAAAAACTGGGCATGTTCTGCCAGACAAGATCATTAACCATAAGTAAAGGAAAAAAGTTGCTTATGATATTTTTTTTTGTCCTGTAAATCTTCAAAAAGGTGCCTCCTGTATTAGATTAGGCATTAGATTCAAAGAACCTGAAAAACACCTGTTTTTTTAAATACATGTATATGTATATTTTTCTTTCTTTGATTGAATTCAAGTATTGATTTTCCTATTTTTTGAATTTTTCTTTACTGAAAGAGGAATTCTTTTTTCATCTACTGAAAACATTCCCTGAGCCTGACATAAAGAGACTCTACTTTATTTCCATGGTTTAAGCATGTTGGCAATTTAATAACTTTATTTTAAACATATTGCAATAAAGTTGACTGTTAGCACATGACTTTACTGGGCAAAGTGTGCCATAGGAGTCATAGGAACATATTTCCACTCACTACCCCCAAAGAGCATTGCCTATGGTATTATAGCCATCATAAATGTGTTACCTCCTCATTTGGTTTTGACAGTCAGTGATTATATGGTATTAAATAGTATTTCTATGATCATTTTTTGGTCTTGAAGGTCCCCAGGATTTTGGGCATGAATTTTCCCATCTTCTTATCTTTGGCATCTGTGTCATACTCCTCTTCGCTCTGACTTGTATGTTCATCCTTTTTGCAGAAAACCTCAAATCTGCTGTAGACTCTCTTCTCCTTCCGCATGTTCTCCATTTTTTTCAGAAGGGTATCTCTATCTTCTGATGGTTGCCGCTGAAGATTTCGTTTTTGGCTTCCAAAACTCTCTGACCTATGGATGTTACAGCTTTTCTCCTTCTCACCTTTCCTTTCCAAGCTCGTAGTTGACTTAGAAAGATCAGGATTACTAGTGGATGGTAGTTGCTTGGCGAGTTCAGCTCTGTTCTTCTGACTGTTTGCAGAGATTTGTTCCAAAATTACCTTTGTATCATCACGGAGATTGCTGCTGTACAGGATATTAGCTGTGGATGAAGGAAATCTCCCCTGTGTTGGTTGGCTGCTTTTGGGAGGAAGTGGTGTTGCAAATTTATGGTTTTTTTCTTCCTCCATCATTTCCTGACAGTCCCCTATGGAAGATCTTTTGAGCCCCACAGGCTGTTTGTCAGATTTTCCACTCTCAGAAGTGGGTTCTTCCTCCAATTTCTTATCACCTTTTGGGTTCAAAAGCTGCTTCAAACGTAGTGATCCTTTTCTTAAAAACTCAATTGGATTTTGTTCCTGTTTTGAACAGTCTTCCTCAGATTTATTGAGAGAGCTGTCAGATCCTTGACTTTTAGATAAGTTTTCAAGAGCTGATGCAGTACTTGTCCTAATCTGTGGTTTCTTCAGTTCTGTACTGACTAATTTTTGAGTGTCTTCTTTGAATGTCACTCTTTCCTTCTTTTCTGGAAGAGTCAATTTCTGAGTGTCTCCTACAAATATAAGACTCTCCTTCTCTGGAAGAGTGGGTTTATTCTCTATTGGGTAAAACCGAGATGATAATTTGTCCACCTTACTGCTAATATGTGCTAGGGGATCTTTATTCAATGTGTCAACGAGCTGGGGGGTTGATGAAGCCATTCCAAATGATCTGTCAGCCTCTCCATGCATTTTGTAAGTACTGCAGGAGTCTTTGGCGTCTAGTACCCTACTCTCCAGAATCTTATATTGCACAGATTTGGTACATTTCTTTTCTGTGTTCTGTGATTCTTCCTGGAGAAAACTGGAAACAGCTT